GGGGGGGGGGGTAAAATCCGCAGCCCGCGCGCAGAGAAAGTTTTGCATGCACTTAAAGTGCTACGGCGTGTCTGCATGCACCCAAATACGTTGGATTCCGTACGGAGGCAGTACTCGTCACTTTTTTTTTCATCTCTGCTCTTTATTGAGTATCGAATACATATGTACATAGATAGTAAACTGTTACATCAGATTCATCAATTTCTGTCTGTTTGTACAATGTTTAACTTAACTATCCTGACAAATTGTCTAATACCTTTATATATATTTCAGAATGGTATACAACTAACAAGGCTGATTTAGAAACTACAGAAAATATGCACATACCTTTTTCTCACAAATGCACATAGACTTATCAAATGTCACGAATTTCGATTTTGCACATAAATACTGTAACACTATATCAACTAAGATTCAGTTGAATTTAGAGCTAACTAAAGAAGGCATCAAATGTTTCCCAAACACGGAAATTAATGCCGTGAAAAGGACATATTTTCCACTTCACTTCTACTGAATTCTATTTTACTGGACACCTTTCTCAGCAATTCAGATAATTTTTGAAACGACAAATAAGTATCAAGTAAACATAACGTCAGCTGCATAAAGAGCCCCTCTTCCCGCGGGGCTTCTCCAGTTTACCTTTCTTTAAGGCTATGGAATATTCTACAGTTTGAATGAATTTAATATAACGAAGAAAGGAATCAAAGTTTAAAGAACTAGTTTTTCTACATCTAAATATATAAATTTTGGCAAGTAGGGTTATAAGATTTTCAATTGGGGGGGTTCCAAAGTGTAAATTCCCGAAAATAACTTTGAATCCATTTAAGAATAAATCTTTAGTTGTTTTATAGTGATACCAAGTTTTAATTTGGTCCCAAAAGAGATAACATTTGGACATTCCCAGAAAACATGCAGGTATGTTTCTTCCTCTTCATGGCAGAACGAGCACAAAGGGGTGTCTATACATTTCCAAATATATAGTAGTTTGTTTGTAGGTAGAAATTGATGTAAAAATTTATATTGGAAAAACCTGGTGGAAGAATCGATAGTACAATGTATTATAGATATGTAAACCTGTTTCCAGGGAATAGGGGTGTCAAAGAGGCACAGCCATTTTAGTTGTACATTATATGAAATATCAATCAAATTATGATGTAACAAGAAAAATTGTACACATCCTTATTAATCTTAACCTGTTTTAACCAATAGCTGTTTCGCTGCATTGGTTTACAGACGAAATCTGGCGCATTACCACATAAGATTGATTTCCATTTCTGCGGAATGGCAGAAATCAGCTGCATATATCTAAAATAATCTCAAATATTGCCATATTTTATTATAAATTCTTTAAATGTCATTAAAGTACCTAACTCATTTAATATATCATTTACAAAAACAATATTCCTCTTTCTGAATGTGCTCATAGAGACAGGTGCTCCATCAATAAGAATATTGTTGTTCATGAATAAAAGTTGTTGTTTAACATCTGCAGCACATGTGGGGGCCTTATATTGATGTTTATGGGTTCACCACAAAGTGGTGAAACCATATTGCTTTCTCTCATGATTCTCCTCCTTCCTCTCCTCCTACCATTTCTTTAAATGGATTCAGCTTCTTCATTTGGGGGCCTAAGGTCCTGAAATTTGGTATGGAGGTACAGTAGGCAAATACCCCCAGGCATTTTTTCATTTTTGTGATACAGGCTTTTAGAATGGTTTTATTTGAGTTTTTTGGCTGTGTTATAGCAAATGTATTACTGAGTTAGTGAGCAGTGTTATTAGATATGGGCATGAGTCATCACAATGGAATACCAATAGGCATGCAGCTTTCCTATATTCTCCTTGCTGATTGGCTGTTGGAATTTAACAGGCTTAACTTAATTAATACCTGCACAGAGCCATTCCATACTGACAGTATGTCTGTATTCAAGTGTTTTGGTAGGTATTTTAAGCTTTCCTGCTCCAGCATTGGAATGCGGGGCATGAACGCTTCTTTTTTTCTTGAAAATCAACAGTTTGCATTATGCAATTAAAAATCCTAACCAATAATGTAGGGAATAGCTATCCAACTGTTGTAGTCTTAGTTGTATGTTACTTCCTACTATAGTTATATCAATGTAAAGCATTGTTTTCCCTTGTGTTTCTCATTCTTTCCCTGCCATGTCGTAAAATGTAGTGAAGCCATTGCTGTATTTGCTCCAAAGCAAATGTCGGCCTTTCTAGTTAAACCATGCATCTAATATATCTGATAAGAAGTGGCTTAGTTTAAAATGGTGTATAGAACTTAATTGAAAGAAGGGGAATAGACTAGATCCCAACAAAGGATGCATTCTAATTAGCCAAGTAGTTGACCAATTTTCATTAAAATAAAGTTTTGGTATCCATGAGGCCTTAAAGGAGTACTAACCTCCAGAAGGGGGTGCTATATTTCGACAGGCATTTATTTTTGGAAGTGAAAACTATATATCATTTTACAGTATACAATTAAATGCCCATTTTGCGCGCAAGTCTTAAAACGCATCGAATCCAGGACAAACTCTCCAAATACCCTCAAAACTATCCCAGAATACATCACGCTACCCCATTGGTGTCTATGTTTTAAACAAAAAGTTACGTTACAGACCTCATTTCGGGGGCGATAAGAAAAATTCGTACCGTTTTGTGTTCTTTGGTATCTTACCAACCATTGCCCTTCTTGATGTCCTTATCGCCCCTCATTTATGCCGCAAATATTGACGATGAAAAAAAACGGCGTAATCTAATTATCCTTTCCATAAGTGGCGCAATCTAATTGTCTGTTCAAGTAATACTTACATGCAAATACGTTGAGAAAATCAAAACACGCAGGATGAAACTGGCGCCCACTGTATTCGACATCCTGATATCATAATATCCAAGCCACAGGTCAAGCAAAGTAAAGCAAGTAATTTTTCAATAATCAGCTTGTTAGTGTGCTTGTCTCCTACCGTTTTCACCAAAAAATGTTTATGTTGATCTGACGTGTATGAGTATTGCGTAAGCCAGAGTTCCCGGATGTATCAATTGTGGTTCAGCATGGGGGAAAATGATATTAATATCACTTTACAAACATGCGCCGCGCAAGTCGTACAAGCGAAATTATGTAAAAAGTCGGCTAGTTATGTATTCATTGCAGCATGATGTATCGGAAAATAGCACTTCCTTCTGGAGGTTAGTACTCCTTTAATAGTACAGGAAAAAGCATACAAATTTTTGAGATTCAAACCACCATTTTCCACGGAATTGTATATTGTTTTCCTACTAACTCTCTCAGGTCCTCCATTCCAGATAAATGAAAAAAATTTCCTCTCATATTGTTGAAAAAATTACTTGTCTGGGTTTTGGAGAACCTGAAAGAGGTATGTAAATTGCGAGGTAATCAATGAGTTGATAATTGTTACTTTTAGATAATTGTTACTTTTAAATAATTAAAGATAATCCCTTTACTCTCCAAGGGTATAGAAGTCTATCTAATTTAGCTAATCGGGGTTCAAAATTTAATTTAACAATGGTACCTAAATCCTGTGGGATATGAATACCTAAGATTTCAACATAACCATCAACCCACTGAAGGGGGAAGTGGGTAGGTAATCTAAAATTAGTATTTTTCAATGTTCCAATTCTAAGAATTTTACACTTTTCGAAATTCAAGGAGAGACCAGAAATAAAAGAAAATTTATCTAAATCATCTAGAAGGGCATAAAATGACGCTAATGTAGGGGCAAAGGGAAAATCAGTGTCATCAGCATATTGTGAAATTTTGGTTGACCTTCCAAAAACGGAGAGGCCAATCAAATCATTATTACAACGTACTTTAATAGCTAACATTTCTACTGCAATAATAAAAAGGTAGGGACTAAGGGGACAGCCTTGTCTAACTCCACGATATAATTTGAATGGGTCAGATATATATCCATTGTTTAAAACTGAACTTGTAATATTATTGTATAAAACTTTTACCCAAGATAAAAACTGGGGTCCGAAATTAAAGAAACGTAATGATTCGAAAATGAAATCCCGTCTTACGGTATCAAATGCTTTTTTTATAATCAGCAATAAAAATAAGTCCTGGTTTCTTTTCTTTTTCATAATATTCAATCAAATCTAGTATTCTTCTAACATTTTCACCAATAAATCTCCCCTGAATAAAACCGGTTTGATCTTTGTCAATGATTTTTGAAATAACAGATCTTACCCTGAGGGCAAGACATTTTGAAAGAATTCTAGCATCACAACATAATAAAGTTAACGGTCTCCAATTATCTAATAATGTTGGGTCCTTATCTTGGCCATTACCCCACTGTTTCAATGATAAAGAAATGATACCATGCCTTTGTGTGTTGGGGAGGAAACCTTTAGTCAAAGAATAATTAAAACACTCTAACATAGGAGCTTTAAAGACTGAGAAAAACTGTTTGTACACTTCTACAGGAATGCCATCCCGTCCAGGTGACTTTCCATTTGAGAAGGAGTTGATAGCATTAAGTAGTTCATCTTCTGTGATAAGGCCCTCACACGCCTGCATCTGCTGCTCTCTTATCATAATCTTCAGGAAAAAAGTATTGGAAATTTTCCGGGGTAAGGGGTATTGGGGGGTCTTTGAAAGAGTATAAGGAGGAATAAAATTCAGTTTGTTTTTCTAGAATTTCAGTAGGATTACACGTAAAAACGTTTTCGGAAACTCGTAGTTTTTGAATATTTTTTCGAGTGTAATTTCTATGTATTAAGTTCAAAAAATACTTCGTACACTTATCCCCCAACTCCATCCATTTTGCTCTTGATATTGTTATGAGTCCCCGTAAACGATAATGGTATAATAATTCTAATTATTTTTGTTTTTGATCAAGATCATCAAGGACTGAGTCTGGGGGAGAAGGTGTGTTGTCAAGCAGGATTTGAAGAGTTTTTATTTCATGGATTATTTTTTTTTCTTTAGACAAATGTTGCTTATTTTTCCAGCTTGAAAATTTAATGCAATATCCCCGAAAGAAACACTTGGCCGTTTCCCACACTACATGCGAATTTGCAGTACCACAGTTTATACGAAAAAATTCTCTCATCGCTTCTATGGTTTTGGTATGAAATGTCTTGTCTTCTAATAAAGATGAATTGAACTTCCAGGATCCCTTCCCCCTTGGAAAATCTGTAGTGACAAGTGATGAAGTAATTAATCTATGATCCGATCTAAAACTGTCCGCAATAGTGCATTTGTTAACCCTATTTGTCAATGAAAAGGCAATAAGGAAATAATCTATTCTACTTGCTTGGCGCCTACGACGCCAGGTGTATCTAATTAAGTCTGGATTTCTAAACCGCCATATGTCATATAGGTCAAATTTACACTTTAATTCAGAAATAGCTTCATATGCTTTTGGATGGTAGGTGGAGTTTGTAGATAATCTATCGACTAAGGGGTTTTGAACCGTGTTAAAATCACCAGTAACTAGAAAGGCCAACATTTGCTTCGGAGCAAATGTAGGAATTTCACTCCATACCCTTCCCCAAACAAAAATGAAAGATTTTTCAAGATTATTCACAAAATAAGCCATACTGCAATTATCTAATTGAGATCAAGGATACAAGGACAAGCAAACTTTTAATCTCGACAGCTTTATTCACAAAATTAGCACTTGACAATATATTGTCTCCCTTTTTTTTTTACAAAGATACACACAGATTTACTTTACACTTATATATTGCAGGCATCTAAATACAACTACTAAGGCCACAGCAAGTAAATTTTATGGATGACATCCGCACGCGCATTAATTTTCGCCTGATTTTGGAAAAAAAACAAGAAATTTTGTTGCCTTCTGACAGTGGTCAACATGCCGAAAATGGGCAAAGGTGTCTGTTGCCATGCAGGCAGGTGGATGGCAGATAACCATGAAGAGAGGAGACAAGAAAAGGCTCTGATTTAATGTTTTGTTTCTTACTTTGATGCAGTGATATGTGATGTTGACTGTGTATATGTGATGTTCCTACTGGATCAAAACCATTTGTACAATGATTGAGTCAAAATTTTACATTGTAGGAACCTTTTTTTTCGGCCCGCCTTGTTTTTTTCGCCCGCTCGCATTAGATTTGGAGTTTGCGGAGGATGTCATCCATAAAATTTACTTCTTGTGGCCTAATGACAAGAGTGTAACTACTCTGAAGCTCTAATTGCACAGAATTGGAGACTATACCGACATGATCTATATATACTTTGAAACCATACAAACAGATTGAATGAATAAACTACACACGACTTACAAATACTAGAAACCTGTACTTAGGCCACACCATTTTAATGTGTTGGTTCTCGGATTCGCCTCTTCATTATTTTGATTTGCAAAAAAAAAGATTCTGGTTCTGAATCAACTCAAAAATGCTCAATGCCCCCAACCAGTTGAGGAAAGTTCTTTTCTTCCTAGTTGTTATAGCTTTTCCTTCTATATGAATTCAGTGGTTTGATGAAAAGTTAAAAATTCATTGTTTGAATTTTAACCCAGCCTTCTGTGTTGACTTAATGGCTCCTATCGTAGCATTTGGGGCAAAATAGGGTGCCTACATCTGTTTTTATTTTTTTTATTTTGTTTCGCCGTCTCTTCATATTTTTTTCTAAGAAAATCTGAGAACCAACAAATTAAATTGGTGTGGCCTTATATATTGATTAAGCTATACTAGGCCAGTTTGATCTGATTTGATTATATGGATGTCAGCCTCTGCTGCAAGCCCTGTCTCTCTTCCTCTATCGACAAAGTTGGTAAATTTTACGACATAATCAATTTACGGAGTACGCTTGCTCAGTTTGCAGATGTTTTGTATGATTGTCGTAAACTTCTTTTGGGAATGAACGAAAACCGATGCACTAACAGATGTCATCCATATAATCAAATCAACATGGCCATATTTACACTCACATAAACTATGAAACCATACATTGAATAAGCTATACATTACTATGATTATCATAATGGTTACCTTTATTTCTAAAATCACACTAGTGAGCTAATAGAGTCAAAGAAAGCAAAAGTAAAGCAAATAGAATTTCTGTACAAGCTATAATAGTCCTTCATATGATTCGTTCAAACTAGGTTGTTTGCAAGCTACACGACCCCTAAAAACCTCTCGTTTATGAAGGCAAACAATTGGGGGACGTACACCAGAGAGTGTGCAAAACAACCAAACTTCTCTGGGATTTCTGACTTATTTCTGACTCTTGAAAAGATAACATTGCAAATCTTACATTTTCACACACTGTGTTTCTAGAATTGTTGCAGTCGGGTGATGTACATGTATATCCATCTGTGGATGGCTGGGTCCTACACTGTCTGGTCCCTCCATGGTCAGTTTCTCATGGATGGTTCTGCTCCCTGGTGGATCCCATCTGAAGGATAGAAGACAGGAGGGTAACATGTGCACAGTCTTTACTTTAAGACAACACCCTTTATCTACTGTCTATTTGTACCCATGTAGTTTAAATAGAAACCAATTCTACTAACTTCTTAGCACAAACTTACCTGCTGTATGTTCAGCGCACAATCTTCCAACTGCTTAAGTCTTGATCCTTGAAAAAAAGAAGAAAAAAAGAAATAGA